CAGTTTTTCTAATTTGAAGATTACTTGACTTGGTAAGTTTGAATGAAATTAACTTTACGGTAAAACTTCAAAGTGATTGCATTAATACGAACGAACTCATGGTGACTCATGTACCTTCACTGGAAAATATCGATTTTGGTGCAAATGAACAAATATCTCTTTGGAACTAACAGCACTTCTCGGATGAAAATACATGAATATAAAGATAGGGCACAAGGGGTGTAAAGAAACAGAGAGTTCTTTATTATCTAGGTTTTTTTTAACCAGTGGTTTTCGGTTCGGCTCTGATGGTCTAGAAAAGTTTTAAATCCTTTGTTTAGATCACAAATCTTTTTAATAATCTCAAGCAAACAGTATTTTACACCTTGACGACGCCCTGAAATCTATTTAGAATTAAAGATGCGTTTAAAAAAGAAAAAAAGACGTTGTGATTCCCGGTTCAGGTTTGCTCGGAGACAGTGCTGGGTCGTTATGCAGATGTGCCTCATGTTTTAAAGATAAAAGTTTGCATAGTTAACAAATCCAAAACATCCCCAAACCACAGATATGAAGGAGGATGCTGCCTCTTCACGCTTCTGTGTTTAGAAGGAAACATGAGACAAAGGCTTTCTAATAAGTTTTATCGTTCCCGCTCACTCATTAGATGCTTCCATGTCGGAGCCATTTATTGATTGAATATTTGCGTGCAGAGAGTCATCTGTGCACAAAGATAAATGGTGCTTTTTGAAAACAATATTACACATTACTGATTCAAAAGAAGAACTGAAAAGCTGTGGTCCGCTTATAAGTAAGGAACAGTTGACACGTATTGAACGGCTCAATACGAATCATTACACATCTAATGGACATATTTATTATTCATGATTATTCTGTTATCACATTTTAAAGGTGTCATGAACGGATCTATCTTATATCTATCTATTCACATTAATGAACTGATGAGAAATAAAGGCAGCATTACAATTTCAGAAGTTAAAAACATCGTAGAAAGACAGAATGTGCGCTTTCCCCTGCCCTGATGACATCTAACCTCACATTCTCCAGCTTAATTATAGGATAAATGCACAGATGCTGCTACAACACATGAATTAATGTGCTACATGCTAACATTTATTCAGCAAACATTTATTCCTGTAAACAGTAACATTAGATAAAATTAATTTCTCATGATTTACTAAAGTTAGTTCAGAAGAACATACTGTGGATGATTTTACAAACAACGGCCAGTTGTAGATATTCTATGCATTGCCCATTACTGTAAATAATGTATTTTTCTCTTCCTTGTCCACTAAAATATATTCTGGATTTGAACAATATTCATGTTCTTTAAGAACAAAGTTTTAAGAATATTAAGTGGGGTGAAGAACAGATATCAAAGATAAAATCACTTTATTTTCACCAGAAAAAATGAGCACCAGATATGTACCAATTAAAAGTATTGAACTCATCTATGCATTTATCAATGCTATAACCTGAACAAACAGCGACAAGTGTCTGAAACCCTGTGAATCTATGTCCTACGCTTGTATTTAAGAACTTTTAGTAACCTTCCACTATCTCGGAAGGTTTGTTGAATCATGGTTGCACTCGTCATCAGAGAAATAGAAGCAGATGGCTCATGTATATGCAAATATTGGCCAATCAGAGCGCACAGCTCAAGATCTTTTTACAGACCAGGTTTTTACCCTCTCAGAAAACAACTAGTAAAAATAATGCTATCTTCAACACATTGTTTTGTTTTTGATGTAAAAATTGCAATATGCAAATCATTTCACCTGCATGAACTGGATCCTACAATAAATGAATCATTTAAGGAATGAAAAAACTAACTTGATTCATTCGCACATTAATTATTATACTAATTCGCAATTTTTTGTGAATTCTTAATTTTTTTTATTTTATTAACGTTTCACCTGGAGCTCCGGGGGGTCCACGCGGGCCTTGTGTGCCTACACCTGGAGTGCCCTTCTCTCCCCTCTCTCCTGGAAGACCTGAAAAAGAAAAACAATTGAGAAACCTGGCAGGTAGATGTAAATGTAAATCTGTTTGTTCATCTTAGTCTTAGCATCTTTCACTTGATTGTATCCAAAACACACACTAAGGTCTATTTGATACATTTATGCAAATGATATTTTAATACAAAACGGAGCAGCGTTTTCACAGATTAAGGCTGTTGAGAAAAACACTTTAACCAGCTACTGACAGAAAAGCTAATGATGTTTATTTCAATTAAATAGAATTAAATCAAATAGACTATGTGTGAAATAAAAACACTGTTTATTTTTTAAATGAGAGGCTACTAAACTTCATGTAACAACCAGAGTTTGTTTGTGCTTTTACATTTCACGAGTATAAAAGATAAATAAAAGAAGTTTATAACCAAGAGTCTGTTTGTAAATAGCAAGAAAAGCTTAGTTCTAGCCAGTTTGACAAATTCTGAAGGATAATTTTTTACCTCTCTCTCCTGGGCGACCGTTTATTCCACTAGCACCAGGGAATCCAGGTCTGCCAGGAGGACCTTGCTCTCCTTGAGGCCCAGGAGTTCCAGGTCTACCTGGCTCTCCAGGTGGACCCGTGACAGTTCGTACTGAGACCGACTGACTGGGAATCTGATTCAAGATGGTGTTGTAACGAGACAAGTGACCTGTGCAGGAGATAAGCAAGGCTAGTTATCTTTCTGCTCAGATTTATGAAGAAAAGACTTCAAACTCTCTCAACTCACTCTGAATAAGTTGTTCACAAACTTGTCTCGCTATAGCACGGACCGACGCCTGAGACTGCAAGTCACCCTTCAAGAACAACAACATGGGATTAAAAGCACGGTAATCCACTTGCACTGAGCTCAAGCTGTTGTCACTAAATGGAGCTTTTTAAATGAATCACTCTACTTTCTCCATCGTGATCTCGTAATTATGTAGAGATGTGATCCTGGCCAGGCTTTGTGTTTCTTGGGAAATATTACAGTTTGTCTATAAATCAGGACAGCAAAGTCATTTTCATTTTATATTAGCCAGGGAAGGATCGATTGTCTGTCATTGGGAGAGTGGAGAGCCAGGATCCAAAAGCACAGCGCGAAACCAGACTAAACAATCGAACAGCAAACCTTTAGTTATTAATTAAAGTTATCCGTTTCAAACAGTTTAAAGGCCAAGGGGAAAACACAGGTTAAAGCTTACATGAGTGGGCTTCTAGATATTCATTTAGTGGGCAGTCTTCGTCTATTAATCTTATATTTAAATTAATAATAATTACAGATTTTAAGATGACGAATATTAATTCGTTCATTTGTTCATTTTCCATTATTCCCTCCAGTGCACACTGGGCGAGAGGTGGGGTACACCCTGGACAGGTCGCCAGTCCATCACAGGGCAATACTCACTCCCACGGATTCACACCTAAGGGGAATTTAGATTATTCAACGATCTTAACCGCATGTTTTCTGGGGTTGTGTGGGAAACCGGAGTACCCGGAAGAAACCCACTCAAGCACGGGGAGAACATGCAATCTCCTTACAGGAAGGTCACTGGCAACCTTCTAACTGGAAGGCCACCGTGCCCCCCTGAACTTATTAAGACTGAACTTATTATACTGAACTTCCCACTTTGTTGTCTGGAGTTGCTTCAAAAGTTTTGTGTCTTTCAATTTCAATGACATGAAAGCATGATTTATGCAACATGGCTATTCAAACCTATGATTGCAAAATATATGATACAGGTCACACATGGGGAAAAATATAATATAAACCGGGCCCATCTAGCTTCTAAATAAACCTTAGAGTAATTCTTTAAGCACCATGTTTCTTAGCACTTTTGAAAACTATAGTTATATGCAGTGGTTTGTTTTTTTCCTCAGATTAAAAGGTGTCTTGCTGTTTCATCCTTTTTTGAAGTTCATTTGAAGTTTTCTTACTGTTGACAGAATATTGTTTTTGCTGTGCCAAATAGAAGGCAATGTTAGCTTGAACTGTGCTTGTTCAAACAGAATGTCACCCAGCTGTCAATTTAAATATTTGTTTAATGGATTTTGGCCAATATCGGACGGATACCAGTACTGATTGTTTGCGAATGAATTTACCAACCCATCAAAACCCTGACCAACACATGCAGAGCAAAACAGTTTGGTGTAAAATCTCACTTCCATGGCAGAAATCTCCAGCAGTTCACAAATATGCTTTACAGGGAGGCTGTATTATCTGGGTGTTTATTCACCCAATTTAACAAAATCCGCATGAGTTCTTTGTGCGACGACTGGCACTAAAGTGACAAAGAAATAAAATCCTTGGAAGCCTCTACCTGCTTCACTCCCCTTCTGCAAGGGTTCAAATACAAACATGAAGAATGTGAAGAGATTGAGAAGAACAGGACAGGATCAAATGTCAGGATGGAGTAAGAATTTGATCAAGAGAGAAGACTGCAAATCTTTAATGTTACTGCTAATAAATTGAGATTATGCACCAGTATCATGTGATACTACCTCAGTCTAGAACACAGAACAGACAATAGAAAAAACTCAACACTCACCCTTTCTCCTCTTTCTCCTTTGGTACCAGGAGACCCCTAAAAAGAGAAGAGAGGGTGTGAATACAATCATTTCCAAATTGTCAGTCATAATTTAAAAAAGGGTACTTGAGAAACAAACTATTAAATGCATAGATGTATTGAGTAGACAATGTTAAAAGCATGAAATAGATGTAAAGCTCCAGATAAAATTGTTCTGGAGACTCATTTGATATCACACATATGATCAAGAGGTGGCCCTGTGATGGACTGGTATACTCAGAGTGTGCCTCAGCCTTCGGCTAACGTGGGAAAGAGCCTCTGACTCTAACCCTAGGTACAGTATAGATGATTGAATAAAGAAAATTGATGGATGGGTCAAGGGGTCATGGGTTTGTTTCTCAAATGGCAGAAGTGGGAGCAAGTCAAGTCATTTACATGTATGCATTTATCCAAAGCGACTTACATTTGAAAGAATGGGCACGTTTAATTTGTCAGTTCTTGCTTTCCCTGGGATTTGAACCCAAAGCATTTGTGTTGTTAGTGTAATGCTCTACCAACTGAGCCACTGTCAATACAGGGCAAGTACAAGTCAAATTCCAAGTCAAGGCAGGGCAAGTTCAAGTCAAGTCCCAAGTCAATGCAGGATAAGTACGAGTCTAGTCCCAGGTCAATGCAGTGAAGGTACAAGTCAAGTACCAAGTCCATGCAAGGCAAGTACAAGTCAAGTCCCAAGTCAAGACAGGGCGAGTCTGAGTCAAGTCCCAAGTCAATACAGGGCAAGTCAGAGTCAAGGCAGGGCAAGTCGGAGTCAAGTCCCAAGTCAATACAGGGTAAGTTCAAGTCAAGGCAGGGCAAGTCAGAGTCAAGTCCCAAGTCAATACAGGGCAAGCCTAAGTCAAGTCCCAAATACAAACCTAAGACAGGTACAAACAAAAGCATTAAATCTAAAAAATGTAATAAACAAAGAGATTTAGATGTTAATTAAATGTAACATCTGCTGTTAAAATCTGTTAAGCCAAAAGGACTCAAGCAAAACAAATATCTAATGCAAAAACCTCCCAGTAACCTTGAACGCAAATTTGATTGCTGAGGGAAAAAGTTCAGTCATGTGCACGTCACTCAAATGGAGAGACATTGAGGAGAGCCAATAACACGTCAGCAATTCTGCCAGCAACCAATAGATGAACTTAGATCTTAAAGAAGCTTCAGTTTCATTGGCTGATTGAGAGTGGGCTATCTCTCTGAAGCAGAGTTTGCGGCGTTCATGCTTCTGTGACCCAATCAGCCACGGGCAGAGATAGCCAAATTGCAGAGAGGGCAGCCTTTGTTCAATGATACAATATGAAAATATACTCCAAAGTTGGAAAAAATATGTAATTTCTCCAATTTCTCCAATGTAATTTCTTCTTCTCTGGAGTATGAAATGTAACGACCCAAAATCAATGTTTTTGTTTCTTCGCCTGCACCTAGTATTTGGAAATCCAATGAAAGTTTTATTTGTGTGTAATGCAGCACTCACAGGGGGTCCTTGATCACCTATTTGCCCTGGGGGTCCATTTGATCCAGGAGGCCCAGGAGCGCCAGGGCTACCCTGAAAAGAGATATGTAAAGCAGAAACTGCATGAGCAAACAATTTTTTAAATTTGAAAGAGTTAATCAAGTTGAAACCTGTACCATTGGCCCTGGTAGGCCCACACGTCCCTGGGGTCCATCTTTACCAGGCAGACCCTAGAAGAGGAAAATGAGTGTAATGAGTTTTAATTAATTCATTTTTCAACCCCCTTATTCCCTTTTTGGGGTCGCGGGGGTCTGCCGGTGCTTATCTCCAGTGTACATTGGGCGAGAGGCAGGGGTACACCCTGGACAGGTAGCCGATATTCACATACACACATTCACACCTGAGGGGAATTTGAATTATTCTATCAACCTGACACATGTATTTGGATTGTGTGGGAAACCGGAGTACCCGGAGGAAACCAACGCAAGCACGGGGAGAACATGCAAACTCCTTCCAGGAAGGTCACTGGAGAGCCTCCTAACTAGAAGGCCGCAGTGCTACCCACTGCGCCACCATGCCGCCCATGAGTTTTAATGTGAAACTATAAAAAAAACAATGTTATTTTATGGCTTTTTGAGAAACAATATTTGACTTGACAGTGTCTCAGTGGCACGGTTGACATTTGATGGTGACATACAGCATTTAAGGTTTGGATATTTTGAATATTACATGATATCAAAATATTATACTGGATTTTTTTAATGGTATATTGGTTGTAAACTGACCCTGGCTATTTCACTGATTAGAATTAAGCCATTTCTGCCATTCACTTACTTTCACTTTACTTAGTTCACAGTTTTTAAACTTTTTCAGTTTTAAGATATTTTAATTTTGTTAAAAATTCTTTGTTTTAACTTGTTGTTGTTGTTTTCTCAAACCATTTGTGTTATTTCCACAAATTCACAAGTATTACTATTGTAGAAATCTACATTAGGCTAGGACCTCAAGTAGCTTAATTAAAATGAATAATATTTGTTATTGCATTTTATCACTGGATTTGGGTCTTTATTCTGTGCGTAACAAGCAGCAATTAAAACTGTCTGATTGATTGTGCCTGGCAGAATTTCTAAAAGAGATTTGTCCTTTTTGTTTGCATTTCAAAGTTAATTACCGGTAGATACATGTATGTTAGTGGATCATGGTGGAAGCTTGCTCTTAGTGGTTATATGGAGTATAAGTAATACACATAATTGTGACACCACAATAAGAAACAATTAAAATCTTCAAGATCGCATTGTTTATGTAATTTCGATCGAACAAGCTAACAATCTTAAAAGCACAATGGTTAATCAGCCAATTACTGACAGACTGAGAGTTAGAAAAGTGTGAGATATTGTCTGAAATCTATTTTACTTGTCTTTATTCAAACTAGAATTTTTCTATCAAGGAAATCTGATTATTATAATCAGGAGTGACATTGTGTGCTTTTGTCGGGGTTCTGCCAGTCTAGATCTTGCCATCGGGATTGGATGTGTTTCGTTTTGTCAGGTCTCATGTAGATATCTGGCATCAGGAGTTTTTGTTTCGCGTGTCGAGTGTTGTGTTTTCTTTGCTCTACAGCCGGGTGTTAGCTGGTCTAGCTCTTTAGACAGTTACTTCTGAAGATTTAGGAGTGGTTGTGGGAGAGGACGGTGAGTAAGTGCAGCCTTGTCTTTCACCAAATGTGAGCCAGAGATGAGCAGAAAAAAAATGGATGGATTCATTTGAATTTTACATCTATAATCAGCAATACTAAAGAAAAATGTATGATTGAATTTAAATTGGTTGAACTGTAAATTTATTTATGTAATTGAACTTAAATGTAATTAATTTAAATGAAAAATGTAAACTTTTGAGGCAAACGGGAGCTTTTTTAACATATAAATACAACATAAATTCCCAAGGAATGTAAATATTAACTACACATTTAAGTGTCGTTTCTAGACGTTTTTTGAATCTTTTTATATGCTTTTGACAAGAGTTTTTGGGAGTCAGTGTACTTAGCCGGAAGGGCCTGTTGAGCATTTTGCTTGAAATAATTTTTTGTACAAATATTTCTTCATTACATCACACAATAATTCCACAATTAACCAGAAATTGTACAAAAAGTATTTTTTACTCTGTTATGCCAAAAAATCTTAAACATTTTGATAATGTTTTTATGTTTTGTAGAAAAAGTGTTAAAAATTTATAAATTCTAAAAAAACAAAAAAAACAAAAAACAAAGACAAGGTCAAAATAATGTGAAAATTGTACTACAACCACTACAACTTAATTTTGTGTTTAAATACATATTGAAAATTCATTTTTACACTGATTTCCATCAATTTTCCACAGATTTATTTTTACACTGATTTCCATCAATTTTCCACAGATTTATTTTTACACTGATTTCCATCAATTTTCCACAGATTTATTTTTACACTGATTCCACTCACTATATACAGCAATATTTGATCTATACAAAGCTTAGCTTGTCTCTAAGAGGGAAAATACCCTCCGTGTTTGTAAAAGACTGTATTTGGTGATTAAATAAAACCCAACTTAACACCAGGCCAAACATAAAAAGTACAGTGACAATTTTGATGTATTTACTATTGACACTAACACTTCAACTTGCCGTGAAAAACAGTGTTTTTTTTTTAATTGAAAGAGACAGTTGTATTGCAAAATGTTCACTCAGACTGCTGAGTACTAAACAGAGACAGCCAACTGACTGTCTCACCAAGACATTATCATTT